AACTGCAAAACACAGCTTTTACAGCATACCTCTAACACGTCCACGAACACCTGCCAAACTCCTTCAGACTCCTCTTCTCCTTTTGTCCCTTCTTGTATAAAGTCGGCCAGCGCCTGGGCCTTAATCGCCCTCCTTGGCTCATAAACAATCGTGTATTCACTCAATTCGACCGCCCACTTAACCAGTCGACCTGATACAGAGGGTCGGCCCAGCGTTTATCCCAATGGCATATTCGTCTGAACTCTCACCCTGTGACCCAAGATATATGGCCTCCATTTTCTGACGGTGACAACCACCGCCAAAGTACCCTTTTCGATCTTCGAATACCTCCTCTCCGTACCCTGTATCACCTTACTTACGTAATAGATTGGAAATTGGGCCATCCCTTCCTCTCGTAGCAACACCGAACTCATCACTATGTCGCCAATGGACACATATAACACCAAGTCCTCCCCCTGCACCGGTTTTGCTAGCAATGGCAGGTCGAATAGCACCCTCTGAAACTCGTCAAACAATTTCTGAGCTTCTTCTGTCCACTGGAACCTCAAACTTTTCCTAAGTGTTTTGAACAAGGGCCCGCTCTTCTCGGCCACCTTTGAGATAAAGCGGCTCAGGCCCGCTATTCGACCAGTTAGGATCTGCACCTCCTTTACCTTCGTGGGGGGTTTCATCTCGACCACCTCTCTGACTTTCTCCAGGTTGACCTCGATTCCCCTCTTTGTGACCATGTAACCCAGAAACTTCCCGGACTTGACCTCAAATGAGCATTTAGCGGGGTTCAGCTTCATTCCGTATTTCCGAAGGGCCATGAATGTTTCCTTCAGGTCATTCACGTGGTCGATCTCCTCTTTGCTCTTCACCAACATATCGTCCACATACACCTCCATGTTCCTCCCCAGGTGTTCCTTGAAGATTTTATCCACCAATCTCTGATATGTTGCTCCTGCATTTTTTAGACCGAATGGCATTACCACATAGCAATAGGTTCCTTGGCTTGTCACAAAACTGACCCTTTTCCAATCTTCTCGCGCCAACGAGATTTGGTGATAACCCTGCGATGCATCCATCAAGCTGAGTAACTCACATCCGGCCGTGGAATCGACCAGCTGGTCGATCCTGGGTAGTGGGTATAAATCTTTTGGGCATGCCTTATTCAAATCCCGGAAGTCTATACACATCCGCCACTTCCCATCTGACTTCGAGACCATCACCGTGTTCGACAGCCACTCCAGGAATTGGATCTCCTTTATATGCCCCGCAAGCAGAAGCTTTTCTACCTCCAGTTCAATCACTTTATCCATTTCTGCCCTGTGATGCCTCCTCTTTTGCTTCACCGGCCTTACAGTGAGGTCGATATTCAGCCGGTGCTCGATAACTTCAGCCTTGATACCAGTCAGCTCTTCTGTCAAATATGCGAATAAATCTGCAAATTCCCTTATCATACTAATCAACCTCGATCTCACTGGCTTCACCAATTCCTTCCCAATTCGATACTTTCTCTCTTCATACCCCTCGACCATCTGGATCTCCTCAACTTCCCCTCTTGGCTGGATATCTACCTTCTCCTTACCCTTCTCCAACCTCTGCCTATACTCCTTTGATCTTGACCCTCCTGGTCGACTAACCTCTTCCTCTTTTAGCCGTGTCTGCCTCCTCGCTAGTTGTTTGTTATTTCTCACAGTGGTCGGGTAGCAGCTTCTCGAGGTAAGTTGATCCCCAGTGATCTCACCAACGTTTTCGCCCACAGGATACTTGATCGTCATGTGGTACGTGGATACGACCGCCTAGAATGCATTCAAGCTCGTCCTCCCCATTATGATGTTGTAATACGATTCAGCTCCAACGACCACAAATCTTACCATCCGGACGTTCTGGGTCACTCCTATTCCCAGAGCCACAGATAGACTTACTTCTCACATTGGCATAACTTCTCCGCCATTAAATCCGTACAGGGCCGTAGCCATCGGCTTCAACTCCACATTCAACTCCCGATTGATTAGCACAAAACAATCATAGAACATGACATCGATCGAACTTCCCGTGTCTATAAACACCTTTTTCATATCGAAACCTGCAACTTCCACCGTAATCACCAAGGCATCATTATGAGGTATCACCACCCCTGTTGCATCCTCCGCCCGAAAACTAATCTCCGGTACTCGGGCCGTGACACCCACTTCCTCTCTTTTCCTCATCATTGCTCGAACATGCCCTCTCCTAGCATTATTCGAGTCTCTGTCTGTCAGTACTTCTGAGATCATATATATCGTTCCTCTCTTCACCTAGCCTTCCTCTCATTGTCTCTCCCGATCTCTACTTCCTCGCCTCATCTTCCCCTCATCTCTTTTCCGATCATCTCGACCTCCTCGAGGATCCTCCTCATCATCTTCATCGTGATCGCTCCTCTCCATTGATTCCTCTCGGCACCTCCTCTTCTCCTTCCCCCTCACCCTATCCTGATAAACGAACTCCTTGAGATGCCTTGCTCGGATAAGGCGCTCGATTTCATCTTTGAGGTGTCGACAATCCTCAGTGGTATGGATATAGTCTTTGTGGAAGCGGCAATATCTTCTCGACTTAGGCTGAGTTGGCCCCTCGAACCTCGACCTCGGCCACGTCACATCTTTCCCATCTATCCCCTTCTCCATAGCCATCAAGACTTCGGCTACCTTCACATTTAACGGGGTATAATCACGAAATCTCTTTCCTCCAAAGATAGGCCGATCCTTCCATCTGTTCTCGCGTCCTCGATCTTGTTTAGTTCGCCCCTCCCTCCTGGAAAAGCTCTCTTTTTGGGAGAACCTGTCTTCTCCTTCTTTGGCTCCACACGACCTAACTCCTCGAGTTTGGCAAACTCCGCCTGAGTCTCCTCGAGATTAATATATTTTCTGCACCTTTTCAACACCTCATCATAAGTACGAGCTGGGGTCTTGGCCAGAGAGGTCCGACATGGCCTTGCTCGTAAACTTTCTAATCAACCCTCGTGCCTTGACTTCATCGACAGCCGATGGGATTTCCAAGCAAGCCTGGTTGTATCGGGCTACATATTTGCGCAGTGACTCCTTCTCGCCTTGCCTCATCTCCATCAGGGTTAAGTACGTCTTCTCCTGAGCCACCACGCTCGAATATTGGTTCATCAACTTCTCCGCAAAATCCTCAATGTCTGCAATCGAACCTGGGGAGAGCTGCTGGAACCAATCGAGGGCTCCTCCTCTCAGGGTCGATAAGAATGCCTTGCAAATAACGGGGTCAGTATACCCATGCAACACAGCCATATTCTTGAATGTCCTCACATGTCTCGACGGGTCAGAAGTCCCGTCGAACACCAAGTTAGTATCCTTGAAATTAGCTGGCAAGGGTGCAGCTAGTATATCCCTCGAGAACGGGTGTCCTCGAGCACGTCTCTCCATTCGAACATCCACCTTGGCTTGCAATTGACGCAGCTGCTCAGCCATTCTTTCCATCTCTCAATCCTGTAGAGGGGGCCCCACATGATTCATCCCTCCGCCATAGCTGGATTCATCCTCTTCAACATTTTGGCGTGACCCTGCCACAATGGTCGGTACCGTGGTAGCTTGAGAGAGGCTATTTGTGACTTGTTGCACCGCCTGCGCAGCTGCATCCGCCACCATTTGTTGCATCTCCTGTCTGGTCATCACCACCTGCTGGCCAGGGGCTTGCACCCCAGCTTGCGGTAGTGCTCCTCCTTGCCCCACCATTCCTCCTAGTTGTGCCATCGTTCCTCCTGGTTGCGCCGCCACCGGGTTCTTGGGCGGCGGTGGTGGAATCACCGCCGTAGCTGCTGCGCGTGCCTCCTGGGCACGATTGGAGCTCGCATCTTCTTTGGGCACCGCCGTCGACGCTCCCACGCCTTGAAGAACGGGCATAGGAGTGACAGGCGTTTGCAAAAGGCCAGAGAAACCTGGAAGAGCGCCTTGCCTGATCGGCCTGGTCGTCGTCCAAGAGTCGTCAAACGTCGACTGCAAATTGGTTATGGGAATTCCGTCCGCCATAGCTGAGCTTTAAACACAACCTTTTAAATAAGAAGTCCCACAGATGGTGCCAAATAGTAACACAAAACTTCTCGATCGACTGGAACTTGAATAATCGCCTTCCTTCTCGCTGGTTGAACATCGTGCACCTACAAAGAACTCTCACACCGGAGGGGTTTTCCGGTGAACAGCCTCCGAAGCTCAAGTCAGTGTATATTCAATCAATTCTCAAGTTTAAGTAATAGAATGATCGAGTTGAAGAAGAAAGGCTCACCCTCTTTATATAGAGGTGAGATACCTGACATAGGGCTGCCCGAATTTGGTGAGCTGTCTGCCCTAACTGCCCATCCGTACACACAATACGCGTGTGTCAGAGGTAGCCATCGCCACTATCACCTGCACCAATACTCTTTGGACGCGTTTCCTCCTGCACATGGGGTACGCTGTCAGAGGTGGTTGTTGCTGTCCACTAATGTGCTCACGACACGTGTCCTCCTGCACATGGGATGAATATTCTCTTGAAATTCCGTTAGAGGCTCTTTCACGCGCCTGTGACTGGTCTGATCTATTACAACATCAAGTCCGTAAGGTGATCGACCTGTTGAGGTCGACTGAGTTGCTCGATCGCTTATTTGGTCGAGTGATGGGCTGGTCGACTTCTAGCTTGGTCGACTGACTGAATGGTCGATATTCTCACCATTTGGCTCGCATCTTCATTGTTCAACCCTCTTGACTGGTTTAATTGGGCCGGTTTAGCCTTTTATATATAATATCTTATATCACACATATAAATGAAACGATTACTAGACAACACACGATCTCGATTTCCTGGTTGGTTATCCACTCCTTGCTCAGATCATCCTCGTCCTAAGTCAGAGTATTCTTACGGGATTCTCCCTTCGTATCGACCAAATGTCAAGCAGAGGAGTTCATCTACGTGAGGATTCAACCACATTCATCCACCGTTGATCCTCTCTGGTGTAGGTCACCAATCTTCTTCTCCATGCAATCACACAGTTCCAAGGAAAATATTCCTCAGTGATGATTCTCCTTCATTTGCACCTGAAATGAACGGCATGATCCTCTTTTGGCCTCAAATGCCAGTATTAAGTCTAGCGGACGATAACAGAAAAGTGGAGTTAGGACTCGGCGTCAGCAGTACGCTAGATCCACTTGAGTTTACGGAGTTATTCCATCAAATTGTCAGCCTTCGCGATCAACGTTCATCACTCACACAATGAAAGTGGCCATTACCTTCCTCGAGGTCTTGCCATCCTCGAGAGTCGCGTTAGCAATACTCTATCGATCAACAGAACTCTTCGGCATCGGTTGACAACTCGTTCGAAGCTTTAAATCACAATCATCGTACTTCAATCATAGGACTCCAACCACTGCTCCTCCAGTCCACCTGTCAGCTGCCCCAAACGTTCGAGTGATCCCACACATTCGGAACTTCTCGGTTGTCTAATCTCAATGAGGCACCCTGAAGTTGGTCACCAGAAAGCTATGGTGCATATACGAAAATCTCAACTATCAACGAGATAGCTCGCTCAAAATGCTAACTCGAAACTTTTAGAGAGAAAATTTATAGAGTCATAACTAGTCCCAAATGCGACTATTGTTCACCCAAATAAACACTAGAATTCGAAACATAACAAGGTGTTAGTCTCAAGCCTCGAATATGATAATAAAAAATAACAAACTCATACCTCGAGTTGGCACGGCGAGACAAAAGCGAGTGGTCAATGGTCATTAACAATACCAACACTAGAGATAGTCTACAGAAACGCAAACTAGCTCTGATATCATACTGTAACGCCCTGTTTTATTTTAAAGAGTTTACCGAATTTATTTATAAAAATCAAAGTAAATGTTTTGCAAAATTTCAAATTAAAATTTTAAACTTTAACGGGCGCTACTTAACCACTAACAAAACAAACAGAAATTATAACCACAAGGTACATACACATGCATGCTAATGATCATAATACTCAAACCAAATTATTATAAGTTTTCAAACCAAACCATAAGAATCGACATGATCCAGTGATCCAATTCACATGTTGAAAATAGTTTAAGCGGAAACATCATAAGCCAAAAATAACAATCCAACAAAGGTAAATAAAGCATAAGCAAAGACATGACAGTCCAATGACATGACCACCACCACTTGCTCGTCTCTCGCTGCCGCCGCCAACATTGCTCAACTTAAAGATAGGAATATGAAACAAGAGGACAAAACAAACAATGGGGGTGAGCAAAACCACTATGCTCACCAATATTTTTTTTTTATATATATAAACATCCCAGATTGGGATGGGGGGTTGAGGCTACACCCCCGACCTGTGAATATAAGGCCCAGCTAGGGCTAAAAAAGTCAATGGTCTACATCCAAGTCGGAAATACATGGAGCAACAACAAAAGCAGAGAAAATAGAAAATAAAAATAAAAATAAAAACTAAAAATAAAACAAGAAATAAAACTACAAAGGCCACAAAAATATGCGATGTGCGTCTAAAATCGAATCCTCATAAGAGGTCGGCCGAATCTAGTCAGGGGCAGGAGGTGGCGGT